CTGCGCGCGGCGGGCGCGGTGGCGCGGCCGGGCTTCGCCGAGTACCAGGCCAGCGCGTTCGGGGACGTCCGGCTGCTGGTGCACGACTGCCCCGCCTGGGTGAGCGCCGCGGCTGCACGCCGGCAGCCGCTCCTGCCAGCCCTGGGGACGGGGCGGCCACCTACCCGGGAGGGCTTCGGCGTGGGGGCCGATCGCGGAGCCTTTGTTTGGGGCCGGGGCGGGCGGGGCGCGGGACGCTGCTGCACGGCCCTGCTGCACGCTTCCCCCGAGCTGCGCCTCCGCGGACAGCTGGCGACGCAATGGGCCAGCCCGGGGCCAGGGTCAGCAGCTTTCGCTAGCAAAGAGCAGCGCATTTTCATGCCAGCCCCGTGGGGGAAAGAGTGGTACTAGTGTGCTGTAAACACAGCCCTCGGGTAGCTGCACGAAGGCTCTGGGACCCAGCAGAAAGAGTATCGGTGGAGACAGCGGCTGGGGCGAGGGGAACCAGGATTGAGAATTAATTTCAGAGGACTAGCTTGTAGCACGTCTAAAGAAGCTTAGTGTTTTCAACTTTAATAATGCAAATGAATTTTTATGTTAGCCATTTGTGGTTAATAACTCATAACTCAAATTATATTAATGTTGCTTGGTAAAAAGTTTTTTTGAAAAAGGCTCTTTGTCAGGCAGTTCAGGCTGGTCTTGAACTCACTTTTTAGCCCAGTTAGGCCTTGAACTCGAAGGGATTCTCCTGCCTCAGCCTCTCAATGCTGGGATTGTAGGCGTGAGGCACCACACTCCACGGAAAGTTTAAAAATCTTCAAGATTTGTACTAACTGAAATTGTAGTAGCGTAGGTTCTTTAGTGTTTCAAGAGATGAAGGACTTTGCTTGTTGCCATATTTTCAGTACAAAGTAACATTAAATATATATGTTAATATTTTTATTTATTGAAAATGTCTGGTTCTTTACTAGTATTGAAATTACATGTATTATGGCGAAAGGTTGCATTTTTTGTAAGAGAAGAAACTGAAAAAGAAAACAAATTGTGTGAGATTTTACTTTAAACAGCAAACTTAAAAACAATGAATCAGGGCTATAGGGAACTAGCATACCTTTCTAAAGAATTATATTATAACCTGGGTCAGGTGGCACATGTCTGTAATGCCAGCATTCAGGAGGCTGAAGCAGGAAGATCTCTAAGCCTGGGCTATACAAAGTGAGTTTCTGGCTAGAACTATGTAGTGAGACCTTGTCTTAAAACTAAAGAGAGAAAAAACTAAAGCCAAAAAAGGAAAGAAAGAAAGGAAGAAAGAATGTCCTTTAAAAAATTCTTATGCCAATTTCCATGCTATGGAAAGAAAAAAATCGCTTTTTCACACCCATTTTCAATGAAAAGAAAGTTAATGGATGTGCTAAAATAAGCCACAAGCGCGCCCTTCAGTGCAAGGGCTGCTGATGGACTCAGGAAAGGCAGTGGTGGGGCTGTGCATAAGAGGCTTCTATGGAGAACTTCCTGCTGGGAGTCTACGCAAGCCTGTGGGATCTTCTTGTACTCCTGCCTTTTCATTTTGAAAGACTGTACAGTCTAAAGCCTTACTGGTTCTACATGCAGTTGAACAAAGGTCAGTGAAAGGAATGAATTAATGTGGAGAAAATAATGGTCCCATGTGTAGAGGGCCCTCACACAGAGCAGGTTGCATTTGCGGAATTTTCTAAGGTGTTTTTTTTTTTTTTTTCCCCTCTTGGTAGTAAGAAAAGACCAACAGAGACACTAAACTTGCATACATCAGCTGTTGCTGACATATGTACTGAATCAGAGTATTAAACACAGCAGAATAGATAGAGCACACATTTTGATACCAAAAGGACGTGATCGCTGCCTCTTTGGTAAATGATTTACCTTCTCTTTGTCTCAATGCCCTGTCTACAGGTAGCCCTAATAATCTGTGCCACCTTAGAGTTGTGCTGGAGGAAGAAGCAGAAGAGTAGGGTAGAATTTTCTAAACTTAGTGCCTGGCCTGGAGTGGGTGCAGGGGTAGCTACTGTTACAACTTGGTGTTTATTATAACCTTACTACAGTGTATCACTTATGCTAAACAGAGTGCCCTAACATGCAGAAAAGGATGCCAAGAGAGTAGATTCCAACAGGAGTTTTAGTACATAGTGTTTACAGGCAGACAAGTACAATAAAATTATTTCACTGTAGAAATTTAGATGTTTTTTTTTTTTTTAAGATGAATTCATTTCTCCAGATGTAGCTCCGGGCCTTGTGTTGCATAACCCCCTAGAGGAAATCCTGGAACTGATTTACAAGGGGTGGGAGAATTTGATTTCCTTCATAGTTCTCTAAGGCAGTGGAGCCTTTTCCCTTTGGCGTAGCTCAAGAAGAAATGTCTTGGGATTGGAATGAGGTAGCTGTGCACACTTCTCTTCCCAGGTTATTTTGTGTAGCTCCTTGACCTTAAGCTGACTCCTTATTGTACTTAGTTGGCATTTTAAAAATAAATGTGCTTCAAGTTCAGTAGACGTAGCCCATTATTTAGTATATTATTCTCTTATCCACCTCTTTTCTATGCAGTTACAGTGCTATTTCATTTCACATTTTTAGATATTTCCTGTTTACCAAACACTTTGTAAAAAGGCTTTGAAGTAATACATTCATAATTTTCTGCAGGTTTTTTTTTTTTTGTTGTTGTTGTTGTTTTGTTTGTCTTTTTGAAACAGGGTTTCACTATGCAGTTCAGGCTGGCCTTAAACTCACTTTGTAGCTTAGGCTGGCTGAGAATTTGTAGCGATCTTCCTGCCTCAGCTTCCTGAGTGCTAGTATTACAGGAGCTTGCCACCATGACCAGTTCTTCTGCAAGTTTTAACATCCATTTTTTTTTGTTCTCTTCCTTCCTTCCTTCCTTCCTTCCTCCCTCCCTCCCTCCCTCCCTCCTTCCCTCCTTCCCTCCCTTCCTTCCTTCCTTCTTTCCTTCCTTCCTTTTTTGACAAGCGCTTATTATGTAGTTCAGACTGGCCTTGAACTCACTGTGTAGCCCAGGCTCACCCCAAAAGTGGCAGTGATCCTCCAACCTCAGCCTCAACAGTGCTGAAACTATAGGTGTGTGCCACCACACCCAGCTTCTGATTGGTTTTACAAGTAAAAGTATATGAGTCTTTATGTCCTCAACTATAGATTTTAATGATATTCAACCCTTTTTTTTTTCCCTAGAGACTTCAACTCACTGGCCTTCAACTCAGTAGGTTAGGCTGGCTGAGAATTTATAGCAATCTTCCTGCCTCAGCCTCCTGAGTGCTGGGATTATGGGCATGGACTATCCCACCCAGCTCCCAAACACGGTTTTCCCCATGACGATTCCCCTTACACATCTCTTTCTCCCTACGTGCCTCTTCGTGCCTCTTCAGCTGCTCCAGAATTTGAACTCTTTGGAATCCATACAGCAGCTCCTGTTGATTTATTCTCATAGTTACAGGGCTACTTGGTGTTGGTTCTGTTTACATTTAGTTTTGAAACCTATTTTTCTGACTTCATCTTTTTTTGCTTACGTACTTTGTTGGACTTGAATCCTTTGAACTTGAATAGTGTGACATGCAGCTGGAGCTGAGTGGGTTTTGTGGTTTGGAATGTGGACGCTGGAGCGAGGGCTGCTGGGAGGAGCTCGGTGGCTCTTGGGCTGCATCCTGCGTGGTTTTCGGCCCGAGCCCTGTGTATGCTCCTTGGTGCAATCTTTTCCAGTTTGACTTTTCCCATGTGTCGTTCATCTAAACGTCCTTCAAACTTGCCCAGTCCATTCCACCTTCAGTAATGGATTTAGGTTGAAGAATTCTGCAGTTCTCAGAGGGTGCTTGTGAGAGACAGGAAGGTGGGGGCCCGCAGGGGAAAGGGGAGCCACTCCCCTAAGGGTGCCTGTGCGTGTGGGCTGAACAGTCTTCCTTTGTAGGCAGCGAGAAGGTCTGTCTCGTGAATTTGATCTTAGCTCTTAGATCCATATTTTAAAGTGCAGGCTTTCATATCCCCACAGAGTTTGGGCTGGTTTGCTGCATCTAGCTTTTATGTCCTTAATCTCGCTTTATTGTATCATAGAAATACATACCAAAGGCCGCAGGAAAGGACAAATAACGATTAATAGTTAACTAGGCTGTGAGAAAAAAGCTGCTTGTGCATATTAGGTAGCAGAATTAGAATACGCAACAATATTTTCTTTACACTTCTATTTGCATGTGAAGTTACTTGTGACCCCAATTCTAAATAAACATAATAGGTGTTAGGACAAAAATACAGATTTTAGAACTAGAAAGATCTATCCTGAATTATGTGAGCGGAATCCATGAATGAAGGCAGTTATACCCCTGCCCATGTTACTGTCTCACGCAGTATGTATTTTGGACACACACCGTCCACATTCCATTTAACATGCAGTCTGAGTTGAAAGTATATGTGGATTTTGCAAAAACAATCTAAGGAACACACAGAATTCACTGTGTGTTGTGATTTGAAGTCTTAGAAAATCCTTCAGTGTCTAACTAGGTCACAGAAAATCCTCTGAAGCGTCATTGTGCCTACTGATACTCTTGCATCTAATGCTATATTGTTACACTTTTGAAATTATTAGTGATTAAAAGCAGCATAATTTTAAAACAAAGAGCCTGATCTTAAATATAGACATTGAAAGAGGTTGTTTACTTCATCAAACTCAAGAATTCTTTAAGTAGCTTGCTTAGCTGATGCATAGGCTAAATGAATACAGATTTAAACAGCATAAATTAAAAACAAAGTACAAGTAATGCAAATGAAAGAGTTGACAGAAAACATTTTTAATTTTTTGTAGTTACCTACTGAAAAAAACAAGTTATATTAATTCCCAAAAATGAAAAGATAGCCAACACATGTGAACTGGTATGCAGTTGCGTGTTTTGTGGTTGACGTGAAGCTGAGCAGACTAAAGCTCCCTATCTGCGCTTTGGTCTAGGACATTTTTGACAGTGACTGGTACACGTCGAGGAACCTGATCGGGAGCGCCGACATCGTCGTGATCAAATACAACGTAAATGACAAGTGTTCATTCCACGAAGTGAAGGATAATTATATTCCAGTGATCAAAAGAGCATTAAATTCCATCCCAGTCATCATTGCTGCAGTTGGTACCAGACAGAATGGTAAGTGTTGAATTTTCTTTTCAGAGGATGCACGTAAGAAAGGTTTAAGTAGGGCTGAGTTTATTAATGATGGCTAGGCTCTGTGTGAAAACCAAAATCGGGGGTTCGGATGCTGGCTACTGTTATCTCCTTATCATTTGATATGGCTCCAGGACGGCATCAGAGAGGACCACAAACTTCCGTTGTGATTCTGTTGCTGCAGATGTGTCTTAAATTGTCCTTCCGCGGTCTTGCAAGAAGTCAGTCATTCTGTTGTGGCGCTGCGCCAGAAAGCTCTTTCCACAGCTTAACGCCCGCCCACTGGAAGGGTGGGCTGTGTGGACGCAGGAGCAGGGTTTTGAGGTTGGCGACCGCCCCAAAACATGTGGCAGCAGTGTTTAGGAAGGGCGCTG